ATATATATATATATATATATATATATATATATATATTTAAACCAAAATAAGGATGGAGTTTTAAGCTGCAATTGTGTGGTAAATTAATTGAAACATTTTATTGTTCATAATTTTCAGTGAATATATTGACCTCAGACTAATAGCAAACTAGGAAAAAGTTGTCTTGTCCAACCCATTCCACTCTTTTTGATGGGTCACGTTGACAGTTTAAGTAATTTGGTGATGATTCTAATTGTGCTCTCAAATGCAATTATGTTGTTTGATTTTATTATTTGATACTTTTTATTTTTCACTTTTTATCAGATGGTTGGGAGAGACAACAGAGTAAAATAATCATGTATATCATTTTAAACACAAGCAAGATGTTTGTTTATTGAATTTTATCCCCTTTAATAGCTGTCATCCTAACTTATTAGATTTGTTAAGAACTATTACATGTTTTTTTAAGGTAATGGTAATCTGCTTGCACCTGAAGAATTAGGAAGTAGTTACAAGGTATAATATGTTTGTCGCTAGACATGTAAGTAAGAGAATGTTGTCATGCAAAGTGGGATTTTTTTTTCTTTTTCCCTTCCTCTCATTTTTTCTGACCAGGTTCCTATCCACGTCTTTCCCTGAGTTTCAAGTTAAAGAGGAATATTGGATATTTTATCCTGCAGACATACATGCCTTCTATCCTCATCACCATCTTGTCTTGGGTCTCTTTCTGGATCAACTATGATGCCTCTGCTGCGAGAGTGGCTCTGGGTGAGCACATACAATGAATATTTTACCAACCGAATAAGACATTAATTTAAACCTTTTTCATTCAAAAATAAGTAATTCCAAATGAATTTTGAGGGGATTAAAATGCCTCAATTTCAGTTAATTCAGCAACTTAGATTTCGCTTAGTTATTTAGCAGTTTAACTATCCTTCTTTTGTAAAATAAGTGTATGGTTGTTGTCAGGTTTTGCAGCCTTTAGAAGCCTCTTATTTTAAGCCTCAATTTTACTGATTGACAGCTGAGCTGCATTCTGTGAAAAGGCATGGGTTGGAGAAAGAAAAAACAAAAACACAACAAGTAGTGTTCTGTAATGGATGGGGGTTAACAGTGTTGGGAAATATTTGTTCATACTCCTTTCCCCACCAAATTTAGGCACCACTTTACTCTGGCCTAATTTAGGGGCATTAAAGTAGATGTGTGAAACCTGAATGGTTAATGTGTGTTTGTGTTGTTCAGCCTTTACAAAAATCTTGGAGAACATAATGTCAAGTGTGACAGTTTATAATAGCAAAAAAGAAGACATTTTTTGTGGCAAGAATTACCTTTTTTTCTATAAAGAAGTTGCCTGTTGGAGGATTTTCCGGTATTTTAGAAGCTCCTACCCAGATTTTCTAAAAACGTATAATACACTAAAACATTATGCTTTCCAAACTATTCCTAAAGGACACTTCAGATTTAGTAGCTACCCTAAAGAGGGTGTGAGAATAAATCTTAAATGGTTTCAGGTGTTATAGATTTTTGCTGTGACGTGTCATTCTGCTGATTGCATGTGTTTGCAATATTAATGTGTTAATGTCTCCTCCAGCCTTGTTTGCTTTTGTTACAGTTTTGCTAAACTTTATACTTACTGCTCTAATAATAGATACTTAACCTTTTCACCCCAATCTAATTCAACCTTACTTCAACAGCAGTTTTCTGTATTTTCAATTTTTAGGGATGGATAAGAGCTGCTGCTCAACCTAGATATGTCTAGGTAAAGAAGTGGCAAAAAGAAATGGATTACTATAAACTGGAATATTTGTATTCAAAGGAAACAAAGTGATGAATTGATGAATTGATGAAAAGTTAATTGGAAAAATTACCTAAAAGAACTATTCATGATGTCTATACAGTAAGTGAAATGTTTGCCATTGAAAAAAACACTAGTAAACATTAGACAAGAAAGAGCACATATGAGTGGTTATGGCTATTAACCACTTACATTTACTGTGTTGCATTAACTTGAGTCTCATAAAAAAATTTAAAAAAATTAGAAAAACAAATTTTTTTGGGGGGGAAAAATAATTTTGTTTCATAAATATCCCAGTAAAGTTACTCTATCCTCACTTCAGTTGCATTTTTCTCTAACCACCAAGAGTCAGCTATTCAAAGATGGAAAATATATATATTGTCAGTGGATGTTGTTTGCGAGTTCTAACATGTATAAATTACCTAGGGTTAGTTCCATAATGTGTATTATTTTGAATAGTTTCTTCTGCCTGAATTTATTGCTTTGTAGTATTAACTAGTTGTTAATAATTTGTATCATAATTTTTTTTTATCTTGAAAATGCGCATTACCTTCTTTTTGGTCACACTAATTCGAAAATTTATTTAGATGAGAGGATCCCATAGTTATTCAGTTCTTAAAGATATAGCGGATGATATTTTATTGCCGGGCGGATTAGCTATATTTTTCTGCGCACTTTCTGGCGTATGTGAAGTTATCTAAGGTTTCAGACAGTCATTGAAGCTCACCTTTCTGACTGTGGTTCTTTGAAAATGGGAGAGGGTGGTAAGAAGAAAAGAGTCTACGAAGTTAAATAGAAGAAAAGAAAGAACTCAGAAGAGGCAGATATATCCCAGAATGCTTTGTGCTGAGAGCTCTCCTCGCGAAGCATTAAGTGACTAATAAAAAAGATGGCGCAGGCACCGCGCAGTGAAGGAGGAGTTACATGACCAAGAGCGCAAATAGCAGTGATCATTTGTCCGAACGGTCAGTTAACTGAGTTCACTATAATCTCCACTGTATAGTACCTGCTCTATATAGTGATTGAGGGATTTAGGCGTTAGAGCGGATGTTTGGGCACAGTAATTACTCTGTCATCTGTGGCCAAAGTTTCACCTTAACCAGAGTTACCATTGGTGTCTGAGTCGAGCTAGATTCCAAGCACTTCTTAGTGTCCACACAATGCATCTTGAATATATTGCTTCAATTGTTTGCTAGATTGGACGTATTTAACATGAATGCACTTAATGTCACATCTGCACAACAGCGTGGGAACTTCTGACCCGAAGTTTATTCAGGCAAAATAGGCAACATGCTTATAGATGCATCGGCAATGAACAACTGAGGTGTCAGTCTGCCCATCAAACGATGTTTCAGTAGTAAAGGATCAAATAAAAAGGTTATTTTAAAGATATTTTTTTGTTAAAACTTACTTAATGTCTCCTTAGGTAACCCTTTTATCAAAAACTCTTTTAATCTTACTTAGATAAAGGAATAATAAATGAATAAATAACTGTAACTGTCAAATTAGTTTAAAATGACCTTTGTGTGATTGATCATAGCGCTTTTAATGAATAAGAAATTCTAAATCCTCTTTGGTGTCCGTAGAACACATCTAGCCAAAACAGCAATGGAAGTAGTTGTAATCTTATTATAAAATGGCACTGGTTTGCTTTTTTTTATTTTAAAATGTCTTTTTCTAAAAATATTGTTATTTATCTGTGATATACCTTGTTGGGAAGCTACAAAAAGTAAAATTCCAGTGTTAGTTTTTGTTCTTTATTTTATTAAAGGATTCTTCTTCAACAGGTATTACCACGGTGCTCACCATGACAACGATTAACACCCACCTGAGAGAGACCCTTCCCAAAATCCCTTATGTCAAGGCCATTGACATGTACCTCATGGGCTGCTTTGTATTTGTCTTCATGGCTCTGCTGGAGTATGCACTGGTGAACTACATCTTCTTTGGCCAGGGTCCTCAGCGTCAGAAAAAAGCAGCTGAGAAAACAGCAACAGCAAACAATGAAAAGATGAGGATGGATGCAAATAAGGTAAAATTCTACTTACATTATTGATTATGTGTTGTAGAAGATATTTTTAACTTCCTATGGTCTGCTTTTCAAAAAAACTTAGGGGCAGCTGTTATGAATGTTATGCATCTGTTTCGCTATGTTGAAGACTGGATAATTTCTGGTTCCTTTGAGATCTCTTTAAATCCCTTATTGATATCCCTCAGTGATACCCAACCCCCGGGCCCAGGCCTGGTACCAGTCTGTGTGTGTCATTTGGTACCGAGCCGCACAAAAAAAATAACTTTCATTACTTCTGGCAGACTATTGATGTATGACAGCCGCAACACTGTGGGTCATTTGATAGTTAGCCTCTATAGTTAGCCCTGGACAGCCGTAGCCACTGCCCTGCCTTCAGCGCACTATTTGCCTTGCAGACTTCTCCAATCTACAGCTGTGCTCCTCCGTTCTCTTTCTGAGTTGGCACCGCCAAGCTGCTGCCTCTATTGCTTCGGTACCTTACTGTACGTAGATCCAGAGGGGGCCACTCTCTCTAATGGTTTTCTCGCACTGATTGTTTCCGCTGCTCCTGTCACATTTCCAGAAAGCCGTCTCACCTTACTTCTTTAAAATGTGTAAAACATAAAAAGCTCAGAGAAAAACTCATAAAAAACAAAACAAATAGCGTTCGAAATCAGTCGCCTTCATAATGACCGAGATGTCGCCAATCACATGAAAATCGGCAAATTTCTGAGTATTGCAGATTGACAGGTAGAAGTCTAGTGTACATAGTAAGGGTAAAGTTTCTCGATACAACTTTTTTATTTCCGCTATCTTACCGATACTACAGCTTTGAAAATAGTCTGATACTGATCCAGTACCATAATATTAGCACAAATCACACCAGTTTTCTTATAACTTACATTGCGTAATTTTAGAAAAGGCTTGGTAAGGTAATATCACTAAAACAAGAAAGAAAAGTCAACAACAATAGTTGTTGAAAAAATTTGACAGAAGGAGAGTGTTTCTATCAGCAAGAAAATATCGCTACAATTGGATATTCATTTTTTGGTTAATATCTGGCCAATATCAGATATTAATATCCGATTGTGACATCCCTAGTGGAAAGTATTTTAATATCTGTGTAGGATAAAGAATTTATATAGGCCGAATTTGCTGTACTCACATTATCGTTGAATGGCAATCTCTACAGTCACTAGTTTGTCAGCTCTGCGCTGCCATAGCGCAAAGTGTCTGCCTCCATAGATGCGCAAATTGCTCCTATTTAATTATAAATTGCAATTTCTAAGGCAACGCAAACATAAAGATTGAGGCTTTCACTTTGTAGATCATAATATATAACATATTTATGTAGAAGAATCAGTACAGCACAGTTGTTCATCTGGTTTTGCTTCTGTCGAAGTCCTAAAATATTTGCCATCATCTCTGTTGTGTACACAAACATCTGGTCAGGTAATCTTCTCACTAAACTTACACTCAGTTTTAAAATACATTTCTTTTTCTCTTTTTTCTTCCTTGGACCCGTCTGTATAAATATCTAAAGAACTATGATATTTTACATTTTATATATTGACTTGGGAGATGTCATTTCCCTCTCCACACAATATATTGCTAAAAATTCCTTTTTTTCTCACATTAGTATATCTCAAATAATGTAAAAATGATTACTTACATATAAAACTAAAAATATGTTGACCTTTGGGCCAGGTTGACACAATTGAGGTGTAAACAGCTGTAACCTTGTAAACTAGTAGGGGAGTGTGGCCTAGTGGTTAGGGCATTGTGCAAGGAATCCAGATATTCTGAGTTCAAGCCCCTCTCCCATGGACTGCCACACTGGCTCCCTGAGCAAGACTCTTAACACCACACTGCTCCCCGGGCACCGCATGGTGGCAGCCCACTGCTCCCCAAGGGGATGGGTTAAATGTAGAAAGTTAATTTCATTGCTCTGTACTTGTGACAGTGTAATATAAAAAAAGCAGATTTTTTTTTTTTTAAGGCAGAAAAAAAAACTTATCTGAGACAAATGTATCATGGGAGAACAGTCTGATGTGATGGGAGTGCGCTGGCCTCAGAGATTGAAACCTTCCAGAAATCCTAAACCACAGATTACCTCATTTACTCTCTTACTGGGTTCAGAGCCATGGGTGGAGATGGCTATCACTGGGAATTGATGCAAGGTGGAATTTGTTGTAATTAGGTACTTTATAACTAAATAACTAAACAAGATTTAGACTAATATGATCTCTTAAGCAAATATGAGAAGTGTATTGTTAAATAAGGCTTCCACTAAAAGGCAACGTCAGTAAAAGTTTGTTTTCAAAATTTGGAGCATGGTTTAACAGTGAATACTTGCTGCTCTGCTTATTCTTCACTATAATTTGGAACTTGGATGTCTTTTTGTTTGTTTGTATTTCACACTTGTCTGCAGTGGCTTGTGGGAAATGTAGTTGGCAGAGATGATACGCTTTACGCAAGAATGAAACAGAGAGACCTAGCTGGCCATGATTCAATATGGGAGCCAATCTTTATGGATGATGCTGCGCTTGGACTTGGTGATCAAAAAAACAAGGTACACAAAAAAGTCTTTAAATCTAAATATAAAGTAATAGTAAATAAAATCTTGTGTTTGTGAAATATATCTGAACCTTATGTGATTCCATTAATCCCCTGGGTTAATAATACATAAACAATCAGGTCAAATGTTTTATATTAAAATAGTCTTTTTTGGAAGAGAGTTTTTAATATTTTTATGTACATACACATACATTTACACATTTATGCATTCAGTTTATATTTGCAAGGGGGGGAGATAATTGTTTTTTTTTCCTGGACAGATGGACTCACATGAAAACATCCTCTTGGGTACCTTGGATATCAAGAACGACATGGGTGTCACAGAGCTGGCTCTAGGTCTCAATGATCCACGGAATACCATGTTAACATACGACAGCTCAAATCTGCAATATCGCAAATCAGGGCTGGCAAGACACAACTTTGGGCGAAATGCTCTGGATCGCCACATGACTCAAAAGAAAAGCCGACTACGGAGGCGGGCCTCTCAGCTGAAAGTAAACATTCCAGATTTGACTGATGTAAACTCTATTGACAAATGGTCACGGATGATCTTCCCTACGGTTTTTTCCTTCTTTAACATTATTTACTGGCTTTACTATGTCAATTAAACACAAATCACAAAAGTAAAAGCAAGTGCAGCTAAATCAAATAAGAATTTATTGTATGTGTTTGAGTGACTTTATATATATTTTCTTTTTAAAGCTGGATGAAACTGCTGTGTTCAAGACTAGATCCATAATTTATTGGAACACAATCTTTGCTGGGTAACACAAAACAACCTTATGTATAAGAGATTACAGACTTATAAGGTGCCTGTTCCTAAATATTTGTTTAAAGTGTTACATGCTTTTGTTTTATTCTGTATTGTGATGTTTAGGTTTGTTTGCCTTTTTGTTAATTTATTATGCTCATTCAAACTTTATATTCATCAGTCAATTAGATATAAACTGAGATAAAACAACTTCAAAGTTATGTTGACGAAAGCTATGTTATCACCCCAGGTCAACAGGGTTTTCTCACCATAATCATTTCAAAGACTACACAATACCACTAATCCATCAAACTGCATGAAATTGCTCAAAGAAGTTCACAGAAAATACTTAAGATTCACCATTTCTTGTATGATAAAAGGTGAATTTTATAAAACCAATGTTTTTTAAAACTTTTTCTAGTGTGTGAAATTGGTGGTATTACATCATTGTATTTTTCAGACATCTTTGTCAGTTGGACTTCTTCTTCTGTAAAATCACAAAAAGAAGAGAAAACTACCACAAAACCAAAATTTCTGTTTGATCTGCTGCAAATCAAAATCCAGACAGAGTTGAGGAAAAAAATTGACAAAATAGTATAAAATATCAAGATTTTGTAAGTAGATTAACTGACTAAAGCCGAACATGGTTATCAGACATTACCTAAAAGAACATAAAAAATCTCAAAAATGTAAAATAGCTCAACATTTTTTATATCTGCTTTCATACATTGCAGGTCCATATATTATATACATCCATTACATATAGAGGAAAATGTACAAATTCTTTATTTCTACTAATATTAATCCTAAGTATGGCTTTAAGATAATCTGAACCCACAATGTATTGACTCAGAAAATTTTTATTTTTTAAAAACATTGACAATTCAATTTATGCCGTTACACCCTATAATAAGACCAATCTACACAGCTGCGAATGTTTTTTGTTTTATTTGGCCTTACTGTAGTCTCTCAGTCTTGCCAGAAGGCTATACCTTCATGGGAAAGACTGTGGGTTTGTAAGGTGTACAGAAAACAGTCACTGAGACCAGAGTAGAGATTGTAAAGCCACCAAAATTAATGCTAAAGAGACTAATAGGTAACAGAGTGCTGTATTCAAGCATTATCACAGAAACTTTAAAGGAAAAAGGGTGGTGGGAAAAGGGGTACAAGCAAAAGGAGAACTTAATTAAATCAATTAGAAAATTAGTGGGAGCTAAACAAGGCCCTTACTGAGGTTAACATTACCACATCAAGATCCACATTACTCATACACATGGGACAAGTGTCTTACTTTGGGCTTGTGAGGAAGAAGTGTAGCTCAGGGGTCCTAAATTAACTTTTCTGTAAATCACTAGAAGCCACGCATTTTCCCCTTAGCTATCCCTTTTCTATTAATTTATGTTATATTCTAATTTTCTAAAACTCTAAATTTTGGATGTCCATTATTATTTAACATAGCATAATTTTCCTGAAGAATTACGGGCTACGTTCACACTGCAGCCTGAAATGACCCAAATCCGATTTGTAAGCAATTTGTGACCTGTATTTCATATTTTCATGACAATCTGAAGAAAACAGATCTGATTTTTTCAAATGCCAGCTGTGTCAAAATAGTTAGGTGGCATTCATCTGACCTGAACATCATAAATACTCGACAAAGATCACTGTTCTGCTTGTTGCTATGCAGATGCGGCAAAAAAAAACAGCACCCATGGTATACGATCATGTGAAGACCAGTCATTCTTTTCGACCTTCTTGAAAACATTGCGAAATTAATGCTAAAATAAATAATAGATTATAAGATGTGGTCCAACACTTCCATCAATGTTTATTTCGATAAACAAAGAGCACAGTTGTCATCATTACGCCCTCTACTGCGCATGTGGGACACTTAAGTTTTATCAACGCAGTTCACTCAGGAGATCATATACAAGTCACATGTATTTGGGAATGTGAAAAACCACACAAAACAATCACATATCACAAAAAATCTGAATTGAGCATTTAGGCCTGCAGTGTGAACGTAGCCATAATAATAATATCTGGGATAAACTCAGGCAATAATGCAGAGCACATATAGAAAGTTGTTATTAAACTCTTAAGCTCATACTAAGTTTAAAAAATGAAGATATAAAAAGGGATTTATCTAGTGTGAAGGACTTGATTTGAATGTTTCCTGAGTGCAGTACATTTGGTTATTATAAAAAAGCACACTATGGAGGTTTTTAAAAGGGCTGTGTACTACTCCTAGAATATCTTCTGTGTCATTCACCACAGCGAACCAACCAGCAACCTATGGCTACAGTTGTAATGTACATTACTATTCAGTCAGTTAAAATAGTGTTGCAAGTTATAGTCATCCTTTAGGATGTTCCCCAAAGGGTGCAAATGTTCTGCAAAGAGATTATTTCAAAGCAAATTCAAAAAGTGCTGAAAACACCAAAATGACACTCGAAACATAAAAATAAGAAAAATACACAAACATTTAAAACATACTGCAAACACAAAACCCGCTGGAAATACATAAAGGATAATAATATACAAATCCATGCAAAGGAATATGCGTGTGTAAATTATCAGTCTTCTGGGCTGTGACAATCACAAACAGGCTTAAATTGGAAGGCAACTGGACTTTCGCTTAGTGTTTTTAAGATGTTTTTAAGACCTATCCAGGAGTCTGTCAAAGAAATCTGTTCGTTGTAGTGCTTATGTATTAAGCAACATGGAGGTCCATTCTCAATTGCCTTCCAATTTAAGCCTGTTTGTACATGCAAAGGAGAGATGGTGCAATCTGCAAAAACAACAGCAAGTTAAAACAGCTGCAAACTAGCTTAGTAGGACAGAATTGCTCCAGACCACAAGGGGGAAATGCCTCATGAGCATATCACTGCATATTAATGTCTATGGACAACATTGTTGCCAACAACAAAACGTGTTTCCCTCCTATACGCTGTTACACAGCTTCAGAATGCATTCTTTAGAACATGTTGTGCAATGGCACACTGTTTTGCACCATGGTGAATGAGATTGATGCTGTTTTGGACCATGGTGAGAGATGCAGCAACAACAACACACTGTGGAGCATGTGCCTCATGCCTAACTGAAAACACTTTAAGGATCATTTTTTGTAATATTACCTTAGCATGACCTCTGGAAATAGTTAATTCACAAAATATCTATATTTAGTGTTTATGAAAGGTTCACTGTAACTGATAACAATGATTAAAGGAAAAAATAAGTTGTTTTGATTGAGCGGAATATCTTACTCTCATCTCAGTTTCAAGTGAACTCTTGCAGCTTTACCATACAATTGCTGTTTATTTTGGTCTTCTATTTATGACGAGTGAATGTAAGAACAGGCCATTCTTAGCATATGGTAACACTCTTTGTTCCCCATAAGAGAACAAGACTACTTTTAGCAATAACAACAGCTAGGGGAGTACGCAGTTTGACAATGTGACCCCTGATATGAAGAGGTAAACAAAATATATGGTGTTTCCTTTGTAAAGGCAGCTGTACATTGATGCCCACAGATGTCATTCTCCTCTTAGGTACTTCTTTACATGTTTTCCTGAGGACACCTTCTGTCTCATCATTTAAATTAATCAGAAAGTTATCTTTCCCAGAACATTCTATTTAGCCCTAAACGTAAAGTTAGAGTAATGCTGCACATATGGTGGTTGAAAGGCCAGTTAAATTACTCAATTGTATCCACAATACATTTTTTTCACTTTATTTGTCCAAACAGGGAGAAACAAAATATATTGATACAGCCAAAATGAATCTTTATACACCCAAACAAAACTCCTCTTTGGTCTGACTGTTGATTGCACTGGTTTGCAATCAAGATAATATTTTCATTGAAAGAATGAGAAGGCTGTGCTCCCTACATCAGACCTCGCCCACATTATCTGTATGGAGGATATAGGTTGAAACTGTTTATAATTTGTTTGTGCTGCAAATAAGCTGCCTACGCATCCATTCAGAAGAAACAAGGCTAATCAAGGTGTTTTTTTTCTCCTAGAAATATTATGTTCTTTGATTAGCATTACACATTTGTAGCCAGTATAATCAGAGACATTAAATGATCGCCCATAAACAGCCTTTAAGAAAAACTGAAAGGCTTTAAAATAATGCATTAAAATAATAAATACCTTCAATATTCAGGTCACATAAACAGTGTTGTTCCAGTGGTTTATTACTCTCAATAACTAAGTAAAAAAAGGCAAGTCAAAATTAAGAACAAGACATCTGAATGAGTAATTGCATGTGTTCTTCAGACCCCGCCAGATATTAAAAACCATATCAAAGGTTTACTTTTTCTTTTACAAACATTTATCTGTCCTTAGTCATCTCAGATTACATTAATAGTATAAATATGTGAATTGCATGTTTTTTTTTTCAAATATAGCTTAAAACTATGGTTGATTCATGAAAATGGAATACTATGTATTTATAGAATGCATTTAAAATAAGACGTTTCAAAGGTTTTAAATGAATTCCATTGACAATTACCCTGCAGATTATCAACCATTGCCTTATTACTGACACTAAGCTTCTCAATATTACCTAACTTTACCTCACTGCTGTTTACTACAATATTAAACCATTTTTTAATTGATTTTCCACTCCCTAAAACTTTGCAAAAAAATGTTTAGATATTTTTTTTTTTCATTGAAGACCGTGAATTATGGGCAAGAAAAAGTTCCCGAAATTGATTTGTTTGTGCTATTTCCCATTGTGCCTTATCAGTATAAAGATTCATATCAGAAGCTTTTAATTAATAAAAAGCACAAGAGAGAGGTCAAATGAATAAAACAAACATTTTAAAAAATACAATAAGATAAATAACTCCCAAATGAATTTAAATAAACATAAAAAAAAGAAGCACAGGAGCAAACATTGTCCAAGAGCAAAAAAACAACAGAGGCAAATAAATAAAAATCAAAAAGCAAATTAATGTTACGGAAGAATGATACATTTCCTGAAGTGTTTTATAGGGAGGATGTACAGTAAGTGGTCCCTTAGTGCTGGTGAAAAGGCTATCACAGGCCAGTCATTGAACATTTACATGGAGAGACAATTCAAATAATACAGCGAGAATGGAGATCATAAAGATTACTCAACTTTGTATATATAAAATATATTGTATAAATACATAAAGTTTAGAAAAAATAAATTTGGATTTTTTTTGTTTAGCAAAAGCACAGTCTGATGTAAAGCAATGTAAATAGTCTGCTTTGAAGTATATGTTGTTTCACAAAACTGTAAAGCTGCATTAATCAATATGATTCCTATTTATTGCAAAATTTATTTGCTACAAAATTTCAACCAAATGAATGATTTATTTAAGCAGATAGACACATATACGTAAACAATGAACGGACACTCAATGATAGGCAGGGCTCAGTCTTAACCCACCAGGAGGATTTTAACTAGTATTAGTCACTCTTTTTAAATGAGCAGTACCCTGGGTGAGTCGTACCTGCTGCTCCTAACCGACCTATATTTAGGGAATATAATTTATTCTGTGGCAGAATAAGAAGCTCTGCAGTCTTATACAAAGCACATTCTGTGTTTCACCAGCAACAAATCTTTAGATAAATAGAAAAGGCAGCAGATAAGTAATATCTTTATTTTGTGCTGGTTCCTTTCACACACCTGCCAGCTATTCTAGCTGCCCTGGGAAACAACCATATGGCCCCTGTCATGAAATGCCACTAGCTACTCTGGGCATATTTAGTAATATTGATCGACTCTTGTTAAGATGGTTTGACTTTGTGAGATTGTTTATTATTTTCCTTGGGTTTGACTGATTTCAGTGGCCATTATAAGCCCAACATTGCTATTTATAATATCTACACCAAAATCATACACAGCATAGTACTTCTAAAGACAGAGTCTTACAAGTTTATTTTTATTTATTTTTCTTGAAGTGTCTTTTACACAATAAATCGACGTCTGCTACAGATATAGCTTTGTAATGTTAAAATGCCACCATACAGGGAATGAATGTTTTCCATATCAAGTTTTTACAGCTTGACTGTAAAATAAAAACTTTTGGATAAGTGTTTGTGACTCATATTGCCTTTTCGTTAATTATATATATCCATATATATATATATATATATATATATATATATATATATATATANTGTGTGTGTGTATGTATAATTTTCAAATGATTGAGAATGATCACCCTGATGGTTATAAAAGTTAAGCTATTTCGAGTCAACGTCTTTTAAGTAAGATTTTTAGGAATACAAAAATATAACATCTGTAATGGTTGAAAATGTTCTTTCTTTATTGTTTGATTTGCTTGAAGGCTTTTGAAATGCAATATTTTCTGTATGGAGTTATGGCCTCTCGAGCATAAAATGTTGATTTTGTAAAAGCTTACAAGGCACAACTTGGAGATGGTGTATGTTTGCACACACTCACAGAAGAAGCCTTAGCCTCCTCCTGGCCTGGACCTCTCGACTAACTGTCTCAGCTCCTCCATACCTTCTTAACAGCTACTGTCCTGAAACCAAGAGCTCTCCCCTTCTTGAAGCCCTGTAAAAAGTGAGTTTTTGTCCTCACTATAAGAATGGAATTTACTACATTGTCAATAAACATTGTATACACTTCCTAATCTGTTGATTATTTTTAGTTATAGTTAAGAAGGAGCCTTGTATAGACACATATAAAATATTGTTTCAATCATGGTATAATATAAGTATTATATAGCTGGTTAATACGCATATTACAACATGTTAAGGTTAGTTAAAAATGTTTCATACCTCACATCACACAGGTTTAAGTTGATGTTTATTCTTGTTGGGGTGAGAGCAGTGTATATGTACAGGAAAAACTGTCCAACATGGACAGAACTGCAATATATTGCCCAGAAAAACAGAGAGATAAACAGAAAAAATGCACCAAAGCATTCTAAACTAAATAAAAAATCCAACACTAAAAAAAGTTTATTGATTAATAATTTCCAAAATTAATAAAAATGTGAAAAATTGGTTCATGATGCTTTGATGCAATGAGATTATAAATTTTGACATCTTATAATGTTTGTAATCGACCTTTGTTATTTTATTGTCATTTATTTGGTTCTCCCTAGTTCCCTTTATTCGAATAAACTTATATATTACCTTTATGAAACAATCACATATAAATTGAACTATCAGATGAAAGATTTAGTTTAATTTCTTAATATTTGTGTGCTTGGATATAAGAAACATCTTCGAAATGTCGAAGTGAGGGTGCTGTGTAACCAGGCCTATTCATTTCTATTTCTATTGAAGAATATTTAAATCTCAAGCCTAATGTTAGGCTAGTATTACAGTAACAAATCTACTGTTACTTACTTATTAGGTTCCTGTAAAAGTTACAGGTTTATTTCTTGCTCAGGTAATTTATCACAAAAATGCATTTCTCCAGTTTGATTACATGTATTTGTACATTTTGTGCATTGACAATAAATGTTGGTTAAAAATATCACCTGTGCATCTACAAGAAGATTGTGTCTGCTACTAAATAAATACAGTTTATATAAAGAAGGCCATATCATTAGTGCACCATTTAATGCATCTAACCTCTTAAACCCATCCAAAATGTTATGTACTGATAAAGCTAACAGTAACAAGACAGTAATGACTGAAACTTCAAATACTTAGTATTTCTTCAAGTTTGTGTAAAAAGAAGGCGTACATGATGAATTACAGGTAGCCAACAGCTAATTAAGGTTGAGGAGTTCCGGATAAAGTATAACTTCTCATTGAGCAGCAGAACACTTAAAGAGACAAGCCAAGCATAACTTTGCTCAGTCTCATCAAAGAAGACATATTAGTAAAGAAGGAAACAAACAGGACCAGGACTGATCTGCTGAGGAGGACTGCGGAACCCTCTGCCTCTGTGTTTGGGCTCAACATAAATCACAGGTATTTTTTACTAAATTATTATAAGCCTGACTTGTTTTGCAACATTTCAGTCAAGCTGCTGTTGAGAGGAGTTGTTGGAGATAAATCCAACTGTTTATAGAGTAATCTGTGGATGGGGAAGGGGTTTAATTAGAAAACAAAAAGAACTCTCAAGTTTTCAACAGCAAAGATTATTTGGCAGAGAGGGAAGCAAATACAACACAAAATTAGGTGATTATGAGTTGATGGGCTGCAG